TCTAATCGGTTTCGGATCTAATCGGTTTCGGGTTTAATCGGTTCGGATATTATCGGTTTCGGATCTAATCGGTTTCGGATTTAAATCGGATATGAATTATTTAGTTCGGTTTCGGTTCGATTCGGATCATTTCGGGTTTTCGGTTATAGATCGGATCTTCATTTTTCGGGTCATTTCGGTTTCGGTTTCGGATATTTCGGTTCGGGTAATCGGTTCCGGTTATGTTTTGCCAGCTCTAGTGATAAATAAGACAATTGAGTCCCAAAATTGTTCAAAGCGACCTCCACATCCTTGCCATGAGTTTCTACAATGATTTTCTCTCCAATGCATGATCTTTATCTAGCTTAATGCTTCTTTCTCGCTCCATAACTTAAGATTTCAAAAAAAAAAATGATGAACCACATAGTCGGACAAGTCTCGGTTTATATCTACATATATGTGAATAGGCAAATTCTTTGATAAACCTAAGGTCCACCATGAACCTATATATGGTTAAAATAAGCATCTCTTTACTGCTTAAATAAGCATCTGTTTTTTAATAAAAAATAATTTTTTATATGAGAAGATCCACAAAAATCGTATGCACCCAAGGTGAACCAAAGAATTGAAGCACTTTTGATAATGTAATTAAATGACTTTAACATATACGGACTATTTAAATTATCTATTCTTGTGACCCAAGAAATATTTCTTATATTCTAACACACCCCCTCACGTGCAGACGTAGTCTTTTTCGAGTCTTGCACGTGAAACCCTAATTTTTTTTAAACTGGGAGGCGCTGAGTTTCGAACCCGTGACCTCTTAGTCAACAAGACTCTGATACTATGTTAAGGAACCAACTCAACCAAAGGCTCGAAAAGGACTTCGCATGCACGTGAGGGACGTGTTAGAATATAAGAAATATTTTCTGGGTCACAACCACAAATTTGAGTTTTTGGTTGAATTGGTTCCTTGACAAATCCAATAGCAAATTACGCGTATTTCATAGTACTAATACTTATATTTAGCGGATAGAACATAGAAGGTCGATTTTAATTAATTTTAAGGAGAATTTTCTTGAATAACACTACAATATAATGGCTTTCCCTAAATAGCATTATATGTGTTTTTTTCCAATGTAGCACTTTGAGTCATTATCCATTAGTTATTATTCAAGTAAATAGTTTGTCATCACCTGGATATTTTCTGGACATTATTAAGTGCTATTTAGGGAATAAAACAATTTAAGTGCTATTTAAAGAAATGACTTAAGTTTTAGTGCTATTTAGCGCAAATATTTCTAATTTTAATACTAGATATGTATAAGTTTTCATGTTTTATTTTTATTTAAGTAGATTTTTGATACTTCTATGTATATGTGTGGTTTCATCCGAGTGAAGTGTTTTTAACTGTTTCTTTCACCATGTAAAAAAGTCTTCACAGCATCTTTTGTGGGGTAAAAACTGGTCGGCAATAAACACAAAATTATTGCATTAGTAATGATACATTATTTAATCACTCTTATGCATTGACTTAGTTCCCTCTTTTTTTTCACCCAACTCTTATGCTAATAATACCATCCTACAAAACAAATTACCGGTACTATATTCATTCATTATGAGGAGCCTTTTACTAAAGAAGTGTTTGGTTTCTTGGGGTTTGATAATCATTTTTTCACAATGGTTTGGCCATAATGAAAGTTCATGTCTTGAGAAGGAAAGAGAGGCTTTGCTTCAACTAAAAGATTTCTTCAGGTTTAACCTTATTGGTCACGCCAGTCTCCGGTCTTGGCCCGAGACTGGGGATTTAGATTGTTGCACGTGGGAGCGGGTCGGGTGTGATGCGACCACGGGTCGCGTCACGGATCTCGGGCTTGACTATATCGTCTATTCTCCACAGAGATGTCTCAATGCCTCGATGTTTAGTCCTTTTGAAGAACTTGTGAACTTGAACCTGGCCCAGAATAGCCTTAGTTGTTTTGTGGAAGATGGAGGTAAATAAATTACTTTTAAATAGTGTTTTTTATATAAAAAATGTTGAGATTTAATGTTATAGCTAATAGTCTTCCCCAACGTCTCCTTTGATGATATGCTTAGTTACGTTTCTTCAAATTTCTATTGAAAAAATTACTTTTGTCCACTACATTTATTTTTCCGACTCAAAATATTTATCCAACTTGATTTTTTTCCCAAACTAAATAGGATGTGTAGTACATAGGAGATTGTCAAGATGTTTTTTCATTTTTTAAATCAATTCTAACCACACACATTTTTTACTTTTCAACACATTTAATTAAAAACTTTGCATTTGATACAAGTGGACTTTAATTTGAGACGAAGTGAGTAAATATTTTTACCTTATTACTAGCTAGCTGAGAAGCAAATTAACATTATATTCTTTTTCTTTGTTTTGCAAGAATTTACTAAACTCAAGAGCTTAGAGGTGCTAGACTTGAGTGAGAATCCTTATGGGGGCCACGTTTCTCCTAGCATTGGAGAATTATCTTCTTTAGTTGCACTCTCATTAAAAAAGAATAATCTCACCGGAATTTTGCCTAGTCAAGGTAAAACAAACTTAAATACAATGTTTAATGCGGCGCAAAAATTGCGATTTCATATCAATTATATTTGCAATTTTGTGTTACCAAACAAAAGATATGGAATTACAATACAATTCTATATCGAACTCCTTAATTATTCCCAACTAAGGATTTGGAGTTGAATTAGAATTCAATACTATCCAATTCAATTCTAGAGAATTTCAATTTCAATTCAATTCGAATTCCGTGTACCAAACAAACCCTTAGAAAATATTAATTAATGAGTGTTAATTGTGGGCTTTAATTTATTTTAATCAGCAGAATTATGCAAGTTACGAAACCTTAAAGAGTTGGATATGAGCCATAATCACTTGCAAGGACTTATCCCTCCATGCATGGGCAACTTCACATCCCTAAGACTCCTTGACTTGTCCACCAACAATTTCAAAGGAGAGATTTCATTCATCTTCCCACCCCTCAAATCCCTTGAATACATCAGGCTTGGCAATAACAATTTCCAAGGTAAAATCTCATTCACATATTTAGCCAATCATTCCAATCTCAAGCTTCTTGAAGTACTCAACAATGGTGACTTGGAGGTTGAAGATGAAGATGATTATTCAGATTGGAAAAACCCTAATTTTCAGTTTGAGGTTTTGGTATTATCTGGTTGCCAACTTAACAATAAGAGGGGTTCTAAAGCCCCCCAGTTTCTTAGGTATCAGAGCAAGCTAAAGGTACTTGATATGTCCCATAATAATTTGAGAGGGGGTTTTCCTACTTGGGTGGTAGAGAATAATTCTCAACTCATGATTCTGAATCTTAGAAACAACTCTTTTGAAGAGCCATTGCGTTTGCGCCCGGATCTTAATACGAGCGACAGCGTGTTTTGGATGGATTTATCCGAGAATCAGTTCTCGGGTAAGCTTCAAGAGGATGTGGGGATGGTTTTTCCTCGAATGAGTTATTTGAATTTGTCCACAAACCACTTTGAAGGGGTTTTTCCATCCTCATTTTGCAACATGAGTAGATTGAGCCAGCTTGACTTGTCCGAAAACTACTTCGGAGGAGAAATCTGCGACGAAGTCATTCCAGGCTGTCTCAGTAACTTGTTTGAATTGGTGTTGTTGTCAAATGCGTTTCGCGGGGAGGTATTTTCGGCCCATTTCAATATGACCAATCTGGCCGTGTTGGATTTAGGCGACAACATGTTCTTGAGACCCATCTCATCGCGTGGGATTAGTAGAAGTGATTCCTTATACTACTTGGATGTAAGTAACAATCATTTTTCAGGTGACTTGGAGAGCTGGATAACGAATTTGACAAATATGAAAACCCTCTTCATTCAAGAAAACACTCTTAACGGTCATTTCCCGTGTGACATCCCTAATATGTTCCTCCTTGATGTGTCTTACAACTCGCTCTCTGGGCCGATACCCTCGTGCAAGTTCAACCTCCAATACGTACGTGCCAAATCAAACCAAATCAACGGGAAAATACCCGAAACTCTTCTGAACTCATTAACCATACACACATTGGACATGACCGAAAACAAGTTATCGGGTAATCTCCCACCGTTGATTGGCGCCCCGAACTTGAGGGCTCTTCTATTGGGTGGAAATCGATTAAGCGGCCTGCTCCCGAACCAGCTATGCGCGCTACGAGAACTAAACATGGTTGACCTTTCGTGTAACCTCTTCTCAGGCCACATACCTAAATGCATCAATAATATCACATTCGGGCAACCCGGGCTCTACAACACCATATACGATGACGTATTCTCCATATGGAGTAGCAACGAAGCCGAAAAAGGTGTTGTCACATACAGGAACATCTTGTTTCAAGTGTATGACATGACGATGACAAAACAAATGAACCTATTTTTGGTGGGAATGGACTTTGTGACAAAGAAAAAAGTCAACTCTTACAAAGGCGACATGGTCAACTATGTGTCCGGTCTCGACCTCTCCTGCAACAGCCTCGGGGGCGAGATCCCAAGCGAGCTGGGAGAGGTCAAATGGATTCATGCATTGAATTTGTCACATAACCAAATCATAGGCCAAATCCCAACATCAATTTCAGGGTTGAGACAATTGGAGAGTTTGGACCTTTCATACAACAACCTAAGTGGGAGTCTTCCCTTAGGGCTAGTGGAACTCAACTTCTTGGAGTGTTTCTCTGTGGCGTATAACAACTTATCAGGGAGTGTCCCTAATGTGAAGGACCAGTTTGGAACCTTCGAGAAAAACAGCTATGAAGGAAACCCCTATCTTTGCGGCGAACAGACCGGGAAGAATTGCAGCAGCAGAAAAAACACCGATGGTGACGATGATGATGATGATGATCGGATGGTGGAAACAACCTCGGAGAAATGGTACGAGGAAGTGGACATGTCAGCTTTTTGGGTAGCTTACATCATCTTCTTCTTGGGAGTGTTCATTTCCAGCTTGTGCTGTTTGAAATTCAATGAGAACGGGTGGAGATTACTTTGGTCACACCAACAAATTTTTCTTGATCTCGGGCCCACAACCTGAGACGGAAAAGATTGAAAAAAGAAAAAAGTAAGTCACAATGATTCGATTTCTTTAGCTTTATCAAGTGAGAAGATGTCACCCAGATATTCTATATATACACCAAATGTTATTGATCGGTGTATCAATCAATCACTTGTGATTATTGGTTGAGAATTACCCCAAATTAATTGTTTTTGCTAATCACATGTGATTGAACATTGATACACATATTATTGATATATTTTTGGAATATGTGATTTGTGAAATATATTTGATATATAGGATGTTTTGGTTCATACCGAGTATGTTTTAGAAATGTGTATGTTTTAGTATATCATTCCAGTTTTATAGCCACTCTCTTTGACTTAGTATGTATGTATATGTGTGTGGGTGTGTATACATACAAGCATATAGTGAAATATTAAAGTATACTTGCTTCTTTTGTGAATTTTTTCATGATTTGACTTAAATAAATATGAAATGAAAAATATGTTTGTCCTTTGATTTTTTAATGAAATTGTGTAGATAAATAATACTCGTAATGAAGATGGGATAAAGTGAATGTTTATTAGAATGAATTGAATCTATTTTATGTTCTTTTTTTTTTTTACATTTAAGTATCTTCCCATCAATCTTGTTATTATTCCTTTGTCCGAATTCAAATTATTCCCTTTGGGCTTTGGCTGTAAAAAAAATCCCTTTTTGTTTTAGTCCATTCAATTGAGATGCCCATTATTTACAATTGTATTTCCTTCTCTGGCTCGTGTTATTTTTCATTGTGTAATTTTTCATTGTGTAGGGTAAAAATGTAGGACTCATGTTTTGATATTTTCTCAGTTTTTACTTTTATTTTAGTCTTTTTTCAAAAGATTGACACTTTTTATAAAAAGGAACTAGATTGGCATTTTTTGTAATCTTTTCAGACTAGTCCAATTTTTATTTAAAAAAATAGAACTATATGTTTTATCTCCTAATGTAGTACCATTGGTCATTATCCATTAGTCATTATTCAAATAATGTCCACCATCAGTGGACATTATTTCTCTCATTAGACATTAATAAGTTTTATTTAGAAAATAAAAAAGTATAAGTTCTACATTGAAAAATGACTTATGTTTAGTCCAATTTTGTACAAATTTTTCTTTAAGATAAGATCATGTCCTTTTCAACTTATTCTTATTACGTATTACTTTTTCTTATTGGAATCAGTTTAGTTATAATCAGACCGGATCAGAAATAACTTTAAATAAGATTACATTCAGATCAGATTAGATCAGATCATAATTTATCTCAATTAAATCAAACCATTCTGATCAGATGAAGTAAACGTGACCAGAAGTCAACAAAAATTCTTAATGATGGAATAGTATGAAAAGTGCTTATCAAACAGTAATGGTTGAAATTGTGAAAGCAAATATGGAAGCATATACGGAGTATATATTTTGTCAAAAAGGCTCTTTCTTTCTTTGCATTGAAAGAAAAAGTATCCTAGTTGAAGTATAGCTGTATTAGCACTTTGGAATTTAGACCACCACTAACCTATGGAAAACATTTTCTTTTTCCCTCTTACAATTGGTTTTTTTAGAAGTGTCAAAAAAAACAACTGCGGAATATTAAGACTATGTTTTAGAATATAGTTTCAATATTTTGAAAATAGATTGTTTATATCGTCAAAAAATAGATTGCTTATATCGTCAATATTTTGAAAATAGATTTTAGCGTTAGCATCTTACATTGTTTATATCGTCAAAAAATTACCAAAACGTTAAATTGTTAATACTAATCACAAATGTTACTCTTAAATAAAAGTAAAATTTGCACTAAATAGGACTAAATAAAACCCAAGCTACAACTATGTTATACATAAAAATAATTATTACTAGTAATAAGGTATTATTAGCTTTTTTTAGCTTTCTTTGGTGGTTATACAAGACTTATTACAGAGTACACATTATGCTCACAATAACAAATCATACAAAATCTCACAAAAATGGGGTCGGGAGATAATGTGCCTATGTGGACTTCACCCTACTCAAAAGTGAAAGCTTTTGAAATTATATTTTACAGAGTATGTATTACGGAGTAATATGCAACATAAATTAAGAATACGTAATTGGTGATAAAATTTGTTCAGTTGACACGAAAAATCAAACTAGACGAATATATACTTCAACTGAAGTATCTATCTTAAGAATTTGAACCATATCATTTAGATTGTAAAATGTTCTTTTGAGTCAAAGAATATTACAGAGTATCAAATACTTTGTTTACTTAAACCAGGTAAAATATCAAATTTTTTTTAATTTATTTTATTTAAAAATTGGTAAAGAAATAAAAACAAAACTTACATATTTAAAAATTACATGAAAAATTCTTCGAAATAAGAGATGTCAAGAATATTTTATTTTATCAAATAATCAATGAAAATGTAAAAAAAATCAAAATTCCTATATTGTTAAAAAAGAAAATGCGGCAAATATTTTGGGATAGGGAATCAAAAAATTCCTTTATTAATGTTCAAACTTCAAAGTCGTGCATCCACGCGACAACTATTGACAACTATAGTACGAGTAAAAGTCAAACTGTTTCTAGGAAAATAGAAAAAAAAATGTTCCACTCCATTTTAAATTATATATTTGAAAAAAAGATGAGACAAGAATCCTCTCAAGTTCAATCGGACAATCACTAAGAGGAAATCCTTCTAATTTGAATACCATGTAAAACTGCAAATTTTTTACTCTGTAAAATGATTAAATTTAAGAGAAATAAAAAACCAAGGACAAGTTACATTATTTAAAATAATACTCCGGGGTATGAAAAATTCAACAAAATGAAAAGCGACAAAATATTTTATTTTATTGTAATTGATCAATAAAAATATAGATATAAACTTAAATTATCAAGAAACTCTAATAATAACCGAGAATATTAATTTGGAAGGCAAGGGAGGACTCAGAGGAAGAGGAAGTACATAATTCACTTGAGAGTGAAATAAATTTGACCAAATTAAAGAGCAAAAACTCCCCTCTAAAACATGAGTGTTGGATTCTTAACGACTCTTTTGTGTAGGAACCGTCCAATCTCAAATTCTCACTCACTTTTGCGTGTGTTGCACAATTAACAAAAGTAAGAAGTGTCAAAAAGGTGAGATTCAAGTTTAATTTTTGAAAACTGCACTGAGAGGTAACAATGTTAAACATAAGGTCTCTGCAAGTACAAGATGCAAGCTACACTCTTTACCACTAATCTGGGACCAAAGTCCAATTTACCTTCTCATAGTGACCGTTTGACCAGATATGAGGAGACCATCGGGGATGAAGCTCATCTTTTTTTTCAAATTCTCAATCACATAATCACAGATAGACAGATAGGACAAATGATACACTAGGACGACGGTAAAAAAATGACTTCTATTGTTCATAAGATAGTGTACAAATATTACATCCATGAAAGAATTTGTCATTTTCCCATGCTGAATTATGAATTCGGAATATTAAATGTGAAATGTAAAATTGAAAAGAACGTGGGTTAAATATCTTTTAGATTCTTGTAAAATAGGTGGTTTTTTAAAAGAAATTCTTGATATCATATTTATATAGAAAATACAATACTCCATTTAAGGAGTACTTTTTTTTCACATTCCAATATCAAATTTATAAATTTTGACCAAGAAAAACCAAATACGAACGAAGGAAGTAATTTTTTGCAAAACCATAATCACTTTCAACTAAAAAACTTCTAGAGGGACAAAAAACAAGTAAATCGATAATCTAAAGGGACCAACCATTTTGTTCATCATTAACTCCAAATTTAAAAATTAAGTAGGAGGATTAGTTGAAAAAAAGGAGTATTTTTAAGAGACAAAAATAATCTCTAGTTTTGCAGAGATGAAAAATATATTTAACTCAAAAAAAAAAAATTGGATTAGTGGAATGGAATAAAATAAAAGCACCCATTTTATGCCATATTTCCCGCTTTCAATTTCCTTTCACTATCATCGCTCTTATCACACTTCCTCTCCACTCTTTTCTCTCACATTTTTCCTTCCTCACACACAACTCGCAATAATGTCTTCTTCTGCCGCCGCCAACGCTAACAAACCGCCCAGCACCGCCGCCGCCCAGCGCACATTCTGCGTGAGCTCGAACCCGGACCCGAATCCGGCCCATCACAACACCACTTTCGTCCAGGCCGATCCGTCCAACTTCCGGGCAGTAGTACAGAGGCTCACCGGCGCCGGACAGGACCCGTCGGCGCAGAAGCTCCCCAAAGTCTCCGCTCGAAAGACGAGTCCCGGCGAGATGGGGCCGCGCCGGCCGGCGTTTAAGCTCCACGAGCGGAGGCAAGCCGCGAGGAAGCTCGAGATCAGCCTGGGCCACTGCGGAATTCCGGTGCCACTGTCGCCGTCCGCCGCTCGTCCGTCGCCGGTGTCTCCGCTGGATATCGCCGGGACTTCGAGAACGCCGAGGTCTCCGATGGAAGTAGAAGAGGAGAGGGGAATTGCCGAAAAAGGGTACTATTTGCATCCGAGTCCACTCGGTGGTGCTCGAACCGGCCGGTCCGAACCGCCGGAACTTTTGACTCTGTTTCCTCTGCATTCACCTAGGGATCATCATCACAATTCTTCTCCCACCGCTTAGTCTGATTATAATCATAACTAATTATTATGATTAATTAGAAGGTGTAATGTTTTTTTTGAAGGCCTGGACACGATACGCTTCCGGTCTGGTTCCGTTGCAAGAACTAGCGGTTTGAGTACCGCCAGGTGGAGGTACCACCACCCGTCCTCGGTGACTGGCGGTCACGATGTTGATCTAGAAGCGGCCGGTTCATTACCAGTTCTGATTCGAGAACTTTTTTCCATTTGATTTTTAATTTAGATTTTTTATTTAAAGAATGATATATGACTAAAATATTAGTCTAAATGTAGTTGTTATCTATAGAATAATAAAAGTTGGGTAGTATATAAGTTGCAAGTACGTTTAATGCCCCAACAGTTCAAAAAAACGACGAAAAAAAATCATAAAGAAACTTCGAAAAAACTCATAGGGTTGCTCACCTAAAAAATTAATTTACATTTATTTAAAAACAATGTTAAATAAGTCAATTGTCCGTACCACAACTTTCCTCCGTGGTTGCGTCTATGTCGTTTTGCTTATCCATGTCATACCCCGCCTCTTGTCGTGGACGCTTCGCAAAGATCCAATCTCGGTTGGAAACTAGTGTTTCTAGTAGGTCTGTGTTGATGCAACGTAACTCTATCGTTGACACCGACATAGATAACACATGTTTAGCTAGCATTCTGGTGACATGAACATGGGCTTATTCTGCTCCCACCATTCAAGGACGTCGAACTCATTTTCGCTTTCTTTGTCGTAGTCGCATGGGACACATTGGTACGTACATCACAATTTCATTGTGTGAACTTATCGTTGTACCACTTGCATTTGTAGACGTGGAGGTAGCCTTATTTTTCTTCAACAAGAGGCTGATAATGATACCTTTCAAACGCTTCTTCCCTTTCAACACAATACAAGATTGTGTCTCGTTATTTCTAGTTGGGGTTTCGTACAAATTCTGAAATTTATTAAGTAGACATGGTGTAATAGTGTTATCTTGTCAGTCTTCAGATCAATATCATGAAGATTATAATAATCATTTTCATTCAAGAACAACTATAATAGTACTACATGAGAGCTATAGAATTCTCATTCTTGAAATGTGGATCACAAATAAGACTAAATTTGTAATCAGAAATATACAAGTGATAAGCACACCACTTTTTTCCTCATAGGGGATACATAGGGATATAAAAGTGGATCAATCATAGTTTCATAGAAACATGTAGCAACGCTAATACATTTCGAAAAGAATCTGTTATTTGCTTTGTAAATATGCGAGAAACATATCTCACAATCAAAGAAAAAATTCAAACTTAAGTAAGGAAGCAAGTTCATCTTTATATCTCAAAATTATGCAATTAACATATATGAACTATACACTGGATCGTAATGTTCTTGAAAAATGTTATTGGTTTTCTACCCCTAAAACGATAATAATTGTTTCATGTTTGTGAATTGAATTCGATGTACTACCCAAAGTTAATTTCAAATCCTTCTCAATGTTGGTCAATCCTTCCACGGAAGTTAGCATGTCCAACACATTGTTTAAAGAATTGTACTCTATCCATCTGTCATATATTTTTCTAAGTTGACTTTTATTGTTTTTAAGGAAAGTAGAAAAAGGTGAAATTTTAGAATAGTACCCCTAATAAAATTCGGTGGCGTATATTGAATGAGTTTGATGAGATGTAATAAATAAAGTAAGTGAGGTAATTGTTTTATTTTAAATGTTAAAAAAAAGTAATGAAAAATCTTTTTTCGAACAAACAAAAAGGACATTTGAGAATATCTATGACGAATGGAGAGAGGAGCATATTGAATAAAATATTGTACACCAATTATGGCATACCCAAATTTGCATAAGATATCAACATTTTAGTATACAACAAAATACTAAAAATTTTAAAACTCATACCAATATCATACCTAAATATTTTTTAGGAGAAAACTCTCTAAATAGGAGTAAAAAGAATTCCAACACTCAAGATAGCACTATTTAGTTTTAGTTTTAGTACACTCAAAAGTATTATGGGTTGATTTTTGCTTATTTTACCTCCGTCATCCACTGTCTCCACCTCAAAACTCACTACTTCCGTCGTTGTGCCCAATTCCCTACAGAAAATTAAGAGTCGCGACGGAATTTTTCCGTCGTTTTTTGACCAGTTTTTTGTAGTGTATAAATAAGGAAATCTAACTCTAAGTCCACAAGTAATATGAGAAAAGATTTACATTTTACATTTGGATCCTTTAAGACCAGGATAGAACAATTCATCAATAAAAAACTAATGTCAAACTGATAAGAAATAGAACTAAAAATATGTGGAGTGGTGGATTCAAACATTTTAGGCATTAAACGGAGTATTAATGTATTGCTTTCTCACATTGGTAAGAAACGAAAATAAAAATTAAAAACAAGAAATAAAAAAAGTTATTTTCCTTATTTCAACATAATTTCATTTTAGTTATTTCTTGATAAGAAAAATAATTTTTTATTTCTTTGGGGTTGTAATAAGAAAATAAGTTTTTTATTTCTTCTTTTTTATCTTTATTTTCATATTTAACCAACAAAAAAGAGTAATACAATAATACTCCGTTTAATGCATAAAATATTAGAACCTACGATTTCATATATTTTTAGTTTTTATTTCTGACCAGTTTTAAGTTGTTTTTTATTACCTTATTCCTTTAATTAATTTTTTATGGGTTTTTAGTTACTCCTATTTTTTCTCATTTTTATTATTTTTATATTTATTTGTTTATTTTTTTGAGGTAAAACTAATATATGAGTAGGGTTCTGTTGAGACTCAACAACGATGACACTAGCAGTACCACTGCATTTTTGGAGCACTTCTGGTACTCCAATCGAAAAATCGATAGTTCCTACCCCTAACCCACCCTCCTAAACCCGTCACCCCCATCCCACACATTTGGAGTGGGGCTTAGGACGGGGTTGAGGTGGGACTAGGGTGGGAGGTTTAAGGTGTAAGAACCATCAATTTTTGGATTAGAACACCGGAGCTACTCTAAAAACGTAGTGGTACCGCTAGTGTCACCGTTGTTGAGTGTCAACGGAACCGTGCTCATATTAAAAAGAAAAGAAAAAGAAGTGACGGAGGTAAAAGGTCATTTTAAAAATTTAAAGAAAATTTTTTATAAAAACAATGAAAACAAATATTCACAAAAATTAATTTCAACTTTTGTTTTGTTGCGCAAAACATGTCTTTTTTTTAAACTTGCCGCTTAATGACGACCCAAAACTCACAACGTTCAGAGATTACTATGCGTCACGGTGAAAAATGTGATTTTTTTAAGACTGAGCAAAGTTGAGACTCTTCTTAGATACGGAGTAATTTTTCCAAAAATTTATTCACACCAATTCTTTTTTTATCAAAAACGTTAAAACTAATTAAAAACATTATTTCCAAAAAAAAAACCTGCATCAAATTAGATTGAGTACTAAATCATCACATTAGGATTTAGGATCAACCCTAAGGTAACATCTATAATTGGAGCGTTTAAACAATTAAACATACACAGAGAAAGAATGGAAGAACGACTTGGTTGTTGGGAAGGCGAACTGCCGGAAGGAGAACCGAAGAGTGAAGACGAAAAGGTAAATCTTTGATCTCTTTTTTCTCGCTCTCTAAGCATTTGCGATTTGTGCTTCGTACTGGTTTTTGATTGAATTGGAAACAAACTCACCCAATTGAATCGGAATCATAAAAAAGTTTCCCCCTTTTGATTTTGCCGTGATGCTTTTCACATGTTTTCGTTGGAATTATAATACCTTTCTTCTTCAATTTGCTTTTCACATGTTTTTGATGAACAGATGATGAAGAATGTGAATGGGCTTCAACCCTTTACAGAAATACCCTCTGACCTGTTATGGGAAATTCTGGGTAGAGTTTCCATTAAGACATGTTTAGCTTGTAAGCTTGTTTGCAAAGAATGGTATCGAATGATAATCAATCCAGAATTCTCTTCTTTCCGGCGCCATTGTATCCCCTCCCGGTTCACCATCGTGTTGCACGATGGGTTGGGTGCTCGATGGGGGTTTAATTTCTGTATGCTTGAGCTTGAAAAGGCTTTGAATGTCGACGATTCGGGGAATTGTGTTATGGGTGTTCACGATCTCATTAGGTTTGAGAAGCCGAATATTTACCTCTCCACGACGATTTCGTATGTGATGTCTCATTGCAATGGGGTTCTTTGTTTTGTAAGTACAAAGGGAGACTACATTGTGTGCAAATTGCTCACGGGTCAGTGTGTGAAGTTGCAAAATTTGCACAAACATAGGAACCAAAATCAATCTTCTGATATAGGACACGTTGAATTGGGGTGTTTTCCGGTGTCGGGCCAATCCAAGGCTCTCATTCTACTTTGGGACAAAGCGAAGAATACCCAAGTGGCAAAGATACAGACTTTGGGTAACGGTGAATGGAGGACTGTGGGCAATGCACCCTTAAAGATTCGGAGGGGTGGACGTTTCGTGAACGGGTCTAGCCATTGGCATAGGCATACTCTCAAATGCATATGGTGCTTTCATTTTGGGAAAGAAAAGTTTTCAGAAATGCCATTGCCAGATGATGTCATAAACGGACTATACGGGAAGGGAATTCAAGAATTGAGCGTTTTCGACTCTTGCCTATGTTTCGGGTGCAGCTCGAAGGGCGGTGTCGAGATCGACATATGGGTTATGAAAGAATATGGTGTGAAAGAATCTTGGGTGAGACAATTTGTCATAGTGACTAACAATTGGTGTGTGCCTCTAGCACACATGGATAAGGGAAACCTATTTGTGAGGAATGTGTTTAATAATGAATTTTACTTATATGATCCACAAACCCAAGTTTTAAAGAGAGTGGAAATCGAGCTTGATGACGAGTCTTATGATATTGGAGGGTTGCCTGTGGCATTTGATGTATGTTTCTCAAGATTATAAAAACTCATCTAAATTCTAAGTTAAGTACTTATGTTACGGAGTACTTTTTTTTCCTAGTCATTTCTTTATTTATTTATCGATTTTTTTTGGTGAAAATTGAACAAAAAAAACTGAGATGAAAAGAATAAAATGAATCAGTAAAAATTGAGATTTAATACACATAGTTGGACTCCCAACTATGTGTATTAAAATGTCCAAAATTTGGAGTTAAGGGCTAGATATCATTATAGTGATGTTGTGTATGCATTTGTACTCTCTTTTGGTGCTAGTGGAGTTGGTTAGACCGAATGGTCTCGTGGTTTTTTATTCTCACGTTGGAAGATTTTTCCACGTTAAAATCTTGTGCTTCATATCATTTTATTTTCGTGTTTGGATCATCTTGTTGCTTGGTGTTGTCCTTTGGAGTGTTTGTTTGTTCATTCTCAGAGATTCTTTCAAGAGGGAAAGGTTCTGATCTCGGGCACAACACATCTTTTGTGTTCTTTCCTTTCCCAACATGGTGGTCATTTATGTACTCTTTATGTATTTAAATAAAAGTAATACGATCTACTTGATTGTTGTTAAAAAAGTATAATTTATTTTTGAGACATTCTTATTTAAAAAAATGGGAACTTGAATATAAAACAAACTCCTTGCGTATGCAAAAGAATTTACATAAATAAAAAATGCATGATTTAAATTTATTAGAAAGAGAGAATAAATAATACCGTGGAGTATTGACATATTTGTTTTCTAAAAAAAGTAGAAAAATATAAAATTAAATTTTAAATATCTAAAAAAAGAGTAATTCTATGGTGAACCTTAGGTTCATATGATTCTTCTCACATATTTTTTTAAATTTTAAAGTACTTATTTGAACACTTGAAAATGCTTATTTAACATATATGAAGGTTCACCATGGACCTTAGGTGCATGTAATACTTTTCCTTAAAAAAAACATAAAGTTGTTGTTTAGGCAATTTATTTTTCTTTGGGATGTGAATTTTGAGGTAGAGCACGAGGGTAACTAAAATATTCCATATTATACAAACTCATTATTAAAAGAAAAGAGAGCAAATTATTGCATGGATCTAAGGTCTATAGTTGACTTTCATATATGTTAAATAAACATTTTTTAAGTGTTAAAATAAGTGTTTTTAAAGTAAAAATATGCAGGAAGATCTATGTTGAACTTAGGTCCACTATAGAACATCTTTTTTAAAAAAACACCACAGTTCTTTTAACGTCAAGTTTTAGAGGATGGAGGAGTGGAAGATTTGGAAAGATTTGGCCATTTGGGGGTGTAAATTACTTTCTAGTCCAACAATGTATTACAATCTCCGTCCCAATGTATTTGTCTAGCTTGACTTTTTCGAGTCAAATTGGACAAACTCTGAACTTCAATTACTCTTAATTTATATTGAATATTAGCATAATGAAATACAATTTTGAAAATTTTCAATACGATAAATTCAATAGAATAATTTTTATGTTAAAATAAATTAAGGTTGTTTTTATTTAATTGAAGTATTCAAAATGATCCGGAATCTCATCCCCAAAACACAAAGAAACCTATGAAGACTTTGTTAGAAATTCTTTATTAAGCTTGGAAGATTGGATGCATGTTGTTCTTGACTTGTTATCAGACACTATCGAATCTCATGTATGCTAAAATGTCAAAAAAGTTCATATTTTGCGGGCATCCCATTCAACGATCAATTCATCTTCATTTCTCCAGGCTACATCATCACCCATCTTCCTACTCTCTATTTGAAGGTTGCAAATCCATGGACCATCTCAGACAAATTCACGCATTTTATATCCGTAAATGGCTTTCCATTGACCATGTCGTCTGCTCCAAGATGGTCGCTTTCTGTTGCGCCCATGATTCTGGGGATATGAAGTATGCCCGCAAAGTGTTCGGAGAAATTCCCGAACCAAATGTAGTTCTTTGGAATACGATGATCAGGGGATATTCACGAGTGGGGAGTCCTGGAAAGGCAGTGTCTTTGTATTTGGAGATGTTGAGGAGCAATGTGAAGCCGGATAATTACACATTCCCTTTCTTGTTTAAGGGGTTTAAGCCTGAAACTGCATTGGCAGTGGGAAAAGGATTGCATGCCCATGTGTGGAAATTTGGCTTCAAATCCAATGAATTTGTTAACCGTTCTCTGATACACATTTATTTCATGTGCAGGGAAGTTCATATGGCCTGCGGCATATTTGATCAGAGTGCTAAAACTGACGTGCTTATCTGGAACATGATGATCTCTGGGCTCAACAAGTGCAAAAGGTTTAGGGAATCTAAGAAATTGTTTTTTGAAATGGAGGAGAAGGGAATAGTGCCCACTGTGGTCACTCTGGTTTCATCACTATCTGCTTTCTCGGAGTTGAGCGACTTAGATTCCGGGCAACGTGTACACCAGTATGTAAAAGACTGTAAAGTTGAATCAACTTTAATTCTTGATAATGCTTTGATGGATATGTATGCATGCTGTGGGGAGATAGATTCTGCTCTTGAGATATTCCACGGAATGAAGCAGAGAGATGTTATATCATGGACTTCAATCATCAAGGGGTTTATCAGTTCAGCTCAGATGGATTCAGCTAGAACCTATTTTGACAATATGCCAGAGAGGGACTCTGTTTCTTGGACAGCAATGATCGACGGGTACGCCAAAGAAAACCGGTTTAAGGATGTGTTGGCTCTTTTCCATGAAATGCTAGCTGAAAATGTGAAACCGGATGAGTTCACCATAGTTAGTGTTCTCACTGCATGCGCACATCTTGGAGCACTTGAGCTTGGAGAGTGGGTGAGGACTTACATTGACAAGAACTCGATAAAATTTGATCTTTATCTGGCGAACACTTTGATAAACATGTATTTCAAATGCGGTGAGGTGGAAAAGGGAGTATTAATGTTTAATTGTATGCCCCAAAGAGATAAATTCACTTGGACGACCGTGATTGTTGGCCTTGCGGTCAATGGACATGGACAAGAAGCTCTAGATGTTTACTCCCAAATGTTGAGATCTTCGGAAAAGCCCGATGATGTCACCTATGTAGGCGTTCTTTGTGCTTGTACTCATACTGGTATGGTTGAGGAAGGATGGAAATTCTTCACCACCATGAAATCACAGTATGGAATTGAGCCTAATGTAACACACTATGGCTGTTTGGTTGATCTTCTAGGACGAGCTGGGCGGTTGAATGAAGCTCTCAAGGTTATTAATAATATGCCAATGAAACCAAACTCGGTTGTCTGGGGAGCTCTTCTTGCTGCTTGCAGGTAGGTCGGCAATAAAACCAAACATTAAATGCTTTGAATTTTGTTTGTTTAATATCGAGCTTTTTTCAAACTTCTCCATGGCTCACAAATTTTTCCAAGCCTTAACGAGTTTAATAAACAAAATTCTAAGAAAAATCTTTTAAATAATTTGAAATAAGTATTCCATATTTACAGCAGCGTTGCTTGCAGGGTCCAAAAAGATGCAGAAATGGCAGAAATGGCAGCAAACCAACTTCTTAGGCTAGAACCCACAAATGGAGCTGTTTATGTTCTACTGTGCAACACATATGCATCTTGCAATAAATGGGAAAATCTATGCCAGCTTAGAAGAAGAATGATAGACGAGGGGATCACAAAAACTCCAGGGTGTAGTGTGATAGAGATGAATGGTTTCGTCCATGAATTCGTGGGGGGTGATCAATCACACCTTCAGCCCAGAGGGATACATTCAACATTGAATGAGGTAATCGAACACTTGAAGAAACTTGCTGGGTATGTTCCTGACACGTCAGAGGTTTCTCTTGACATTCGAGAGGAGGATAGAGAGAAGTCTGTTTTAGGGCATAGTGAGAAGTTGGCTGTTGCATTTGGGTTAATGAGTTCTAGTCCTGGAGTCACCATTCGGATAGTGAAAAATCTACGGATGTGCATAGATTGCCATCGTTTCGCAAAGTTGGTTTCAAAAGTTTATGAGAGGAAACTAATAGTAAGAGATAGGACTCGATTCCACCATTTCACAAGCGGCTTATGCTCTTGTAAAGACTATTGGTAATCTCACCCCATGTGGAGACGTGCCATTCCTTAACCATTTCATGGGTTTGATCCCTACTTATGGGAATGCACGATGCACCACATTTCATGGCCAACAGCGAAGGTATTGTGCACCTGGAAACAGAAAGTGGTGCTCAGAAGGTTTCGGTGGAGGTTCTGCAACAATTCTCAAGGAGGGAAAGGTTAGTTCCAAAAAGTTTCAGTTAGTCAAAACTGGTACCCCCTGTCCCATTTTTACTATTCCTAGTCTATTATCATTGTGTTTTTTAGGCTTTTAGCCTATGCTTATACTTATTAGAAATGTAAGCTTTATTTGCTTACTTTAAACGTAACAAAAACTGAATAAAATAGTTTCGAAATTGTTTTAACAACCGTGATGAAGAACCACCTCAGTGTATGCAAATTAGAAATAGTCAGTCATGTTTTTGGAAGTTGGCAAACAGCTCAGTTTTATTTACCAAATTACAAGTGTTCAAGGTTTTGCTTTACAAATTTGTTTTCTATCTTTTTTTTAAAGCTGTTTCTTTAAAACAAGTTATAATTCATAGAAGAGAATCTTCTTAAGATCAAGTGCCAAGGAACCTTTTTTTATCAGTGTCTTTGAAAAAAAATTACTATCAAAATATACTTGTTGAATAGCGTCTAGTTTATCATTTTAACTTCTGAATATTTCTAGGATTTGTACATTAGATTCAAGAGGTTATCAATGATTTCTGCAAAAGATATCTAACTTATATGGAACTGCTCTCAATTCTTTGAACAATATTCATGTAATCTCCACTCCAGGCTTGTTAAACAATGAATTGTTATTGTACTTATTACACATTTTCTTGTTTGGGTTCTTTCCCTTTTTTACTTGTAACTTCAAAATGAAATACAGGTAATGAAGTGCATATAAAGAGGTCTTCTAAGGAAAGCACCTTCTTCTCATGGAGAGAGATCATTGGAATAGCTACCCATCCCAAGTTCAGTAAAAACTCTCTGTAAGTGTAAAGTCTTTACTTATACAGATGTAGATTGAGTCGTTTTTCTGGCTTGTTCCACGTTTTAATTTAAGGGCCTTTGGAAAATACGAATGAATGGGCAAGGGCCAGCCATCCATGCGACCGGAGACTAAATAAAAGAACATCATTGTGTCATCCTCCCATTTCCAATTTGCTTCATTTTGCGTAAAACGTAAAATATTTGGGACGGGGGGAGTATATAGTAATTACGGAGTATTTTTTATTATACACCAATTTTAACATATACATATTGATTTAAAAATAAGTTCATTCAGACTTCGTAAATTGAATATCAGTTTTATTTTGGGACAGAGAGTAATTTGGACCTGAATAAAGTCACATATTTCCTTTATTTGGTTTTTCCAATGTACGGAGTATTTAATTTAGGGAGTACCGTGAAGCTTACTTCAACTTCTTCATTCTTCAATACAACGATTTTCTGAATGGCTGCCCCAGAAAACAAACTGCATATATTCATTATATTTCCGATTTCATATTTGAAGACAAAATGGTAAATCTTGTTAGGCCTGTTGGACCACACCAAACCCACAAGATATGCATGCTCAAAGAAACAAACAAGAAATGTAGGAGAAATGAAAAATTATATTAACAAGATGGAGTATACAAAATATAAATTTGGTGAACAAACCCAAAACTCTTGACACAAATATTTCACTGGTAAAACAAACACAAGACAACATTCTTGTGACACAGGAAACAATATTACTCCAAATGTTTTGCTGGTAAAACGAACACAAGTTTAAAAACTTGTGACTCAGGAAACAATATTATCTCACAAAAAGGACTCTCACACACAAACACCAAATGACCCCAAAACTTAGTATAAAATACTAAGGTATTACAAAACTCTCCCAAAATGAAATTATAGAACTTTTCTAAGTTCCACCATTATCTCAAACTCTCACCGAATATGGTATTATAGAACTCTCCTGAGTTTTTATGGAGGGCATTGAGAGTAACCCCAAATTCTCACATAGAGAATTTTAAAACAGAGATCATATTACACTATTACTCCCTAATATTTCTCACGATGGGAGCTCACACCAAACCAAAGAGGCTTGCCTTTCTTTTATAACAGATATTAGCAGCTTCTGTCCATTTCTAATTCTTCATCGCCAAAGTCATTCTCAAGACAACTTGCATAAGTTTATCAACTTGTTTGCCGCCTCAAAAGCCTCCATATTTGACTTCTATTTTTTTTCATTTTTGGGGAAAAATATCCAACAAATCTTTCATTTTTATCTCTCATGTTCCCTTAGCATTTGCAATTTAAAGAATTGCTTACAATCCTTATATTTTTGATGGGTATACTAGTACTAAATTGAATTAGAATTAACTCACTCAATTCAATTGTAATAAAGGTCAAAAGTTGCCAATTTTTTACTTATTAGGGTGATGCTTTTCACAAATTATGGACAATTTGCTCTCTCAATTATTATTATTATTATTATTATTATTACTTCAGTTTATGCCCACTTATGTAATTTCCCCTTTGAGCATTGGGTAATCCGCCTACTTTGTTTCGAACAACAGGTGAATAAAGTGGAAGAGTATCAACCCTTTTCAGAAATACCCTCTGACTCTCTTATGGGAAAATCTGGGTAGAGTTTCCATTAAGACGTGTTTAACTTGTAAGCTTGTTTGCAAACAATGGCATCATATTGTGAACAGTCCAGAATTCTCTTCTTTTCGCCGCAATTGCAAACCCTCCCGGTTTATGATCTTGTTTCATGGCAACTCAAGCGCCGGTTGGGGGTTTGATTTCGGTTTGGTTGAGCTTGAACAGGTCTACTCATTGGCTTTGGGTGGTTGTTTCCTGAACAGGTCTACTCATTGGCTTGATCACAATTATATACGCTCATTTCATTTCGGCAAGGAAAAGTTTTTGCGAATCTCATTATCCGATGGTGTCAACATTGGATCCTATAAGAAGACGAATAAGATGTTGAGCATTTTCGACTCTTGCCTATGTTTGGGGTGTTGAGGTTATTCTATTATAATTGTATGCCTTGGCATATTAGCAAAAGGGAGGACAAAAGAACCAATGTGTTGATCATTTAAATGGGCATAAAGTGTAAATTTTTACTGCCTCAATCACATTTTTTAAAGTACTCTGGTCTATGGAACATGTAATGTCTTAGGCCAAGGGGAACTAAGAAAGTACTACCTCATACATATTTGTGTGAAAGATATTGATGTTAAAAATTAAGAACGAATACAAGGCATACAGAGGCACGGTTCCGTTGACCCCGGCCAACGATGCCACTAGCGGTGCCACTGTGTTTTTGAAATACCTCCGGTGCTCCAAATACACATTGGCACCACTAGTGGCACCGTTAGTCAATGTCAACGGAGCCATAGTGCCCGTCATACAAATATAGTACTCCGTATTAAATATCGATGTATGATTTGAAATAAAAGAAGTGAAACTTACAAAAATAAGAAAGACAAAATGAAGCAAATTAAATGGAGAACAAATAATTTTATAAAAAAATATTTATTTCAACTCCTTTTAATTTTCTTTTAATTCTTTTCAGTTCTTTCGAACTTTTCATTTCTTCTAACATTTGTAGCTTTTTTTTAGTTTTCTCTAACTTTTTACAAATTCTTTAAACATAACTTTGTTTTCCAATTCAAAAGAGGAGAGCCATAGTTGTCAACTACCTTGTTCTTGTACTTCTGAGATCAGTTGTCTAATTTTTGTATTAGTTCCGTCTTGGAGTGTGTGTCCAGTTGCGATTTTTTGTAGCCAAAATTAACAAATTTTGACCCTAAATTAAATGAAACTGATATTAGATATTGATACAAAGATAATTTTATTAGATTTGTTTTATAAAATGTTTTCAAATTATTATGTTATATTAATTAATACTCCGTATATCATATAATTTTTTATATTATTAGTCAAAGGTTGATCTTGATTGAGTGTAAAAAATCAAAACAAAGCAAATACTTTGGGATAGAGGGAATATCCAACAAGCAAGGGAAGAGTAAGGTCTTTGTTTGAGAACAACGTTTTCAATTAGTATTAGCGTTTAAAATTTTAATTGTAGAAATTAATTTGAAAATGCTAATGTTAAAGACTACTGTCAGATTATATTTTCAAAATGCTAATGCTAATATCAAACAATGGTACCAAGCGGGGCATAAATATCTATAATACCGTCTATACACCATATTGGCATAAGTGACATAAATGAAATCCACACATTTAAAAAAAGGTGAAACACACGCCTCGGGTGCCCCCACACCCAGGTCCAACAGGATAGTGAGGAGGATAAATCATGATATAATCTTAATCTGATCCTTAGAGAGGTAGTCTCGTGTCCGGTGCGCACAAGGAGCTATGGTCAAAACTCTAGCATAGCTTCCATTTTTCTCTAAGAAATTTTGTATTCCCCTTTTGCCTCCACTTATTAGATCCCTATATTTTTTGCAGAGGTGCTCCCTAGATCCCTACACTTTTTGACGGATGCTTAAGTTGTCATTCCTACAGTTTTTCTGTACAAGTCTCCGGCATAACATATATTTTAAAGACTAATATTTTACCCCTTATTATACTTAATTTGACTCAAGATGTATATGGATTTAGGTAGTATTTTTGAGAAAATATAGGGATCTAATAAGTGAAGAGAAAAAAGGGAATAAAAAGTTTTATAAAGAAAAAATGGATGGTATGTTGGAGTTTTGCCCGGAAAAGTCACCGGAGAGACTATCTGTGCACCAGTTAGAAAGTATAGGGAATTGACAAGCACTTAAAATAATTTAGGAACTTGAAGATCACTTTTGAAAAAATATAGAGAGTTAGTAAGACTTTTTCCCTTTTATTTTACCTATCAACGGTGTTTTACACTTTTACACACTCATATTTTATACTCACTCCAACCATATTTTATTCTCCATATTCTATATAATACACTTTGTATACATTATCTTGTATAAACAGAAGATGGGAAGTGGTTTATGCAATATAGTGGTTTTTACAATTTGTTTTACACTTTTCATTGGAGGGTTAAAAGGCAAAAATGTACACTAGATTACATAATGTGTATATTTAACAATATACACTCTCCCCTTCAAAGAAAAAAACAATATACACTCTCCCCTTTAAAGAAAAAAATAATATACACTCTCCATTGGAGATGTTCTAAGGACGGAAGGTTCTATAATGGTTATTCTTACACAACTTTTTTTATTTTTTATTATTTTAAAAATACTTATTTTAGCATTAAATTTTTTTAACATATATGAAGATTCATCATAAACTTTAAGTCGATTCAAGAATTTGCGTATAAGACATACTGTAAAATGGAAAATGAGAATACATCCAAAAAAAACATGAAAAAATATAGAATAAGCAAAGCCTATAACTGATTTGAGGAAAGCTAAAAGTAAGTTTGTTTCAAGGAATTTGAAATGAAAAATAAAAGAAAACAAGATGAAAAATAATTTTTTTTTGTATGATAAAGAGGAAAAGAAAAAGGAAATGTGATGACAAAATGAATTAAGATCATGGAAAATTAAGTTCCTCCTTTTTTTTTTGAGATAAAATGAGATAAGAACATTTTTTACGAAGTATTTTTTTCCCCTAATTTCTTGAACCAAATAGTGTAAAGGGTTTACCATGTGTATAGTACGGAGTATAAAATTAAAAAGAAAATTTTATTTGTATCCCACATTGGTACCCCAAGGGTTTGCCTTGACATGAAATTTAAGTACAAAACTGGCATTATGCAAGTGTTGCACTTACATTTTGTGTCAAGGCAAATCTTAGGGTACAAAATGGGTTACAAAGTGGGTGAGAGTGGCACAACCTAAATTAAAAACATGGAAAATGAGTATACACCTTGTACATCCTGAATAACTTATAATCATCTTACTTTTGCCCTTCAATTTCTTTTCTCATTTCACTTTTCAAGATCTTCAATGCAACACTTTGACTACTAATATAAATATCATATATTCATACATATGTATATTCTTTATTTCATAAAAAATATGATATTAAAAATTATGTTTCAAAATGATTCTGTTAATTACGAACGTATATCATAATATTTTTTTCTGCATATCGAGAACAAAATTTAAAAACATTGACCAAAGAAAAGTCAAATGAAAAAGAGCAGAAAAATTGGGCATCAATAAATATGTAATCTGAAATCAAAGCATGCATGAGAGCATCACTACACTGAAGTTTCAAAATAAAATCAACTCTGCAGTCACAAAAGAACAAAAGCTAGAGTGTTACATGTCTTTTGGTCACCAAGTCATACACAAAAACTATATTCTAATTTAGTTTAGAAAGGAACCAGAAGTGATTTTCTGCTTCATCAGGAACATCTTCATGTAGGCACCTTGAATACACAAAAAAAAAAACAAAAAGGTTGTTGACAATGTTCTATAATCAGCTAACTCCATGGATTCCCAATTTGGCACAGACAAAAAAACACATTCAGTAGAATCCCACAAAAACAGAATCTCAGGGTGTGTGCATGCAGACCTTACCCCTACTAGGTTATAAAAAGGCTATTTCCCAGAGACCCTAAGCTTATACAGACAAAATTCATGTTCTCTTCACGTGATCTGATAGGTTCTGATCGGATTAGAATAAGTTCTGATCTGGTCTGATTCCAATAAAAATAAGTAATAAGCAAAAAAAATAACTTGGGGGGGTTTTGGTTGGAGTGGACTGAAGGGAAAATGATTTTTGTACCCAATCCACCCGATCGGTTCAAAACATTTCTACAACGGGGAACCCAATATTTTCCTTCCCTCCCCCGTCCAAACAAACCTTATGTAACAATGTTTGTCATGAGATATTTCAAACACAGCAATAGTCCCATTAACAAAACAATTTGACTCAAATTATGGGGAAGAAAAGTTGATCGATAGCTTAACAAAACAATTTGACTCAAAACGATTTGTATCAAAGGCCAAGAACTAGGAAATTCTGCCATACTTAACAGCAACAAAATAACCACATATAGTCACTTATGTGTTTGATCAGTCACTTATGCAAAACTCGGGTTTCTTGAAGAAAAGGCGGATAAAATCGGGCTTGCAAAGACCCAGACTTTGTAAAAAAAAGAGAAAATTTGCAACAAAAAAATGTAATAGTTTTATTTTATTTGTGCTAAAATGAAAAAAACAGTTTTATCAAAAGGTATGCCAAACATGCTCTTAAAACTTAAAGAAAGGCAGCCAACTTGTAACAGAAGTGTTCATTCAGAGAGAACAATACCTGAATCTTATAACCTTAAGAAACTTGCATCAAATCCAGCCAAAGGCATCATGGCATAAGAAAACTCATTGAACTCAAATTTCCCAACCTCAGAAACCCGGGTTTGCGTATCATACAAATACAATATGAACCCATTCATTAGAAGTATCTTTCCCTTATCCAATTGCACTATAGGCACACACAAATCATTAGTCACTATAACAAATTGCTTCGCCCAAGATTCTTTCACGCCATACTCCTTCATTACCCATACATCCATTGTAACACTACCATTCCGTTGGGAGAAACATCCCAAACATAGGCAAGAGTCTAGAACAATCAATTTTTTCTTTCGCTTATCATAAGCTGTCGCGACTATGTCATTAGCTATTGGGATTCGCAAAAACTTCTCCTCCCCAAAGTGAAAGGACCATATGTAGGCGCGACCACACCAATGACTAGACCCATTCAGAAAACACCCATCTCTCAAGTTCTTCAAAGGTGCATTGCCCACACTCTTCCATTCACCATTGCCCAAGGTCTGTATCATTGTGAGCTCAATCTTACCCAGCAGGTCACAGATAAACATGAGAACCTTGAATCGGCCTGTGACCGGGCAACACCCCAGTTCACAACCCATACTATGATAAGAACGATGCATCTTCAATTCATGAAGATTTTGGACATTCACACACTGGCCAGAGAGCAAGTTGCATACAAAGTATTCATCCCTTATACTTCCAAAACAAACAGCTCCATTGCACTGAGACAAGACATAAAATTTTTGACTGGGTGTGTCAAATTTCGGCCGGATTTTAATCAGATCATCACCACCCACAATCCAATTGCCCGAATCATCGACATTCAAGGCCTTTTCAAGCTCAACCAAGTGGAAAACAACCCCCCCACCACTAGCCCAGGAGTTATAAAACAACAAGGTGAATCTGGAGGCAT